TTGTACCATAATTGATGCCTTGTTGAGTTCAGTTTTGTTACAATTGCAATTTTGATTTGATATGATGGTGTAAATTTTGTTTCTTTGTTGTATCAAATGCATGTATACTACTTATGAAGATTAAAGGAAAGAAAAGGTTGTTAACTTTCTTGTGTATTTTTGCATAAATAAGCATGTCTTCAATGTTCTATTCTAATTTCAAGTATCTAATCGCCTATGGCAGAAATATAAAGGTAAGACTGTGTACAATAAAACCTTATTATCGATCCTTCTGTGGATCCTCCACATAACAAGAGCTTTTTTTTTTAAAAAAAAGGTGTTTTTATACTAATAGAGATACCATGGGGTTTGAATCTTGTCTTGCACCTATAAAATGCTGGTGATTATGTTAATAATAACTTCTTTTATATAATTGCTCTGTTCGGGTCAATTTTTACGTCCATCGACCAATTTTATAAGATATGATCTGAATAATCTTTGATCAGGAATAACATAGATACATATTAAAAGAAAAGCCAAATACATAAACAGGTCCTTAAACTTGTTGTGTTTTTTTCCCTCGGATATCTCAACTATACTATTTTCCTATTGAATCATTGAACCAACCATAATTTGTTCCTTTTAAACAAACATCGTTGGCTGATGTAGAATCAGATTTTGTGAGGGGTATTGATAGAAGACACATATTTTGTTCCAAAACTCATTAGTCCAATTAATAATGAAAATGTTCGAAAATAATTGTGTTTTACTTGAAGTCATTTGAACATATTAGAAAACAAATGAGATCCATAGAGTTTTTCTTCATTCCTTCAATCAAAATCATTACAATACGAACACAATTGAAGGCATTTACAATAGAAAAGCTGATCAAAATCAACCAACAGTGTTTAAAAGGAATAAATTATGGGCGGTTCAATGATTCAATAGGAAAATGACGTACTTGAGATATCTGAGGGGAAAAATCAAACAAGTTTAGGAATCTATTTATGAGTTCGGCCTAAAAGAAATCACCTAGTTTACTTCGTTGATCACTAGGCCATATTTTTTTTTTTTGAATAAATTATCTGAATATAATCGGGTAACGTTATTTCTACTTGCTATTTCTAGCACTTCGTTTATCTTTTCTAAGTTTCACTTAAAAAGTTCAAACATATCTAAAAAATACACACAAAAAGGATTTAGTTTATTGGTTGAAAATAGTTCAAACCTGATCCAAAAATCCCATTGATAGGTCAATATGATGAAATTATCTATCCATGGGAGACAATAATGCTAAAAATGAACAATGATTTTTTTTAATGAAACAGAAATGGTAATAAAATGAGATATGGGCAGTTCAATGATGAGAGTGATGTTAAACTAAAAAAAAAAAGATAATAAAATGACAAAAAAAATACAACTGATATAAACTGTCAATTAATGTAATAATAATAAAAAAAAATTGTCTAGTCTACTATGACTTCCAATAATGGGAAATAATGCTACAACATAACATGGTTTGTCTAGATAAGACTTATTTCCACCACATTCTTCAACTATTTATGAACCATAGAATAAAATAATAAAATTAATAATGATTCATCCTTCTACTTTTTCCACTTTTTTAATCAAAAATAATGAAGAAAATAAAAAATAGAAATTAAAAACGAAAAATTACTTAACTAAATATACATCACTATTATATATATTAATCTTAGTTCTAATTTCAAATGATTACATATATTATTATTTTATATCGTATATTTTAAAAGATGCAATCAGATAGAGGAATTCTTTTAAAATCTCTCTCTTTCTTTATGTTCTCGAATCACGTTTTTATCTTCAACTATTAAAATTAAAACTCCGTAATTAACAATATGATATGTAGAGGTTTGTAACTATTGTAACATTATTATCATATATCTGTTATAAAGATTTTTCTTTTTATGAATGTAAGATATTAAATTTTAATTAATTCGATATTTTAAACATATAATTTAAATATTCAAATCGACATTATATATATTTGGTAAGTAATGATACGTGTATTTAAATGAGAAAACATGGCATGGAAAGGTATATGATGATATTGGTCATTATTGATAAGATGAATTTTACAATTAGCGATTTAGTTTAGTTTTATTATTTCTTTATTTTAGAAAGATTTGTTAAAGTTGATATACTAATAAATAAGTTAAGAGTTGTTAATTAAACCACAATTACTCCTCTAATTAAGAAAATTAGTTACACTTTTAATTTAAAACTAATAAACACATGTATTCAAAGGACAAAATATGATATATAAAGTAATATTCAAGATAAGATTCTTGCAAAGATATTTACAGCTAATATTTTGATTTAGGAAGATTTTGTACATAAAATCTCGATTTTAAATTTTGCTTTGAAATTAATATGTATTCATGAAATTTGTAGAAAATTTTAGTTTTAATTTCAAATATCTAATTCTATGAAAAGAAGGATTTTTTAAAGAAATCAAATCTAAAATTTGTAAAAAAAATAAATTGAAAATTCATGTTCAATGAGAATAAATTATTTGTCACGTGAAAGGATTGTAATAAAAAATAACTAGTTATTATTATCGTTGATTTTTCGAACCAATGAATCTTGGTAAAATTTATATGTATTTTAAAAATTTGTAATAACATATAATCTCAAATAATTATTCGTAAAGATACGTGCAATTTAGTAGTATGACACCTTAGGATGTTTCGATACGTTGTTTATAAACTATAATTTATTCATTTGATAAGTTGTATAATAATTGAAGAAATTTTAATAGTTTTTACAAATTATGTTCCCTCTGTCTAACAATAGTTGTTCACTATACTGAAAATAGTTATTCAATTTAAAAAATTAAAAGATAATTTACCTTTTATATCTATTTTACCCTTCTTATCATTCGACACATTATTCAAAACATTAAATTTAATAAAGTCAAAGAAAAACATTGTAAGGTTACCCCTGTTATTTATTAAGAGATCTGTCAAATCAATTGGAAATAACTATCGTTAGACAAAAAAATTATTATATTTATAAAAAATATAACTTAAAAAATCTAAATTATATATCGTCTAAACAAAATTTCAACTTCAAATCCGTTTCCCAAATATACTCTCTTTTTAACATGCTCTAAACCAATGGATATTTGTGAAATGACAAGTCACAATCAACATCCACTCATATTTCAGACATCAAATTTAACAAGCCAAAATAAAAGGAATTGGATAGGGATTGCACATGGTTTTATCTCACATTATACTCTATAATATATAGTTTTTTTTGTGGTTATTATTTTGCCAATTCATCATATCATTGAGTAATATTTTAAAAATATATATTTTCCAACTAGTAAGGAGATTGCCCACGCTGTGCATAATAGAGAAAAGAAAAATGAAAAAAATACCCCTTAATTATCATTACCAATATTTAATAAGAAGTTAAAAAGTAAATATCTTTACTTACGTGGAAAGTGTTTTTAAAATTTTATATCTTTATATCGACATATTTATTTCATATTATATCGATGATGTTTTTAGAATTTTGTTGGCACATTTATCTCATATTAAAGGGATTTTTAAAATTTTAATATTTATTTTTTAAAAATACATTAGAAATGTTTTTCTACTGATAGTTAAGTTTCAAGTCAATAAAATGCAACATAAATAAAATGTTGAAAATGTCATTAAATGAAAATGCAGCACATGTATAATTTGTTTGACTCATACTTATATAGGGATTTGCATCTTATGTTTGAATAAGATGGGTATAATTGCTTCAAATTATAAGGTCATTAACTTTTTCAGTCTTGATTAAATATTTTTGAAGTAACTTTTTTTTAATTCAAAATAAACTCAATTATCGAAAATTAAAAGAAAATAAATTAATTATCGCTACATTAATATATTTGGTCTAAAATTAGTTATATTGATACTCAATTGACATTATAATATATATATATATATATATATATATATATGTATATATGTATATGTATAATTTTTTAACCATATACTTACACTTCCTCCTTTCTTTTTCATAAGAAAAATACGAATTGGTGTTGTTATATTTATATACAACAAGAACAAAAGATATGTAAATTGCATGTGGATCCACATTTTTTCCATATATATATATATAATGAGTCAATGATTGTGGAATATTCATGAATTTATGAAAAAAAAGATAAGTTCAAAAATCGTGGAAGATACTAAATGAATAAACTTATTCTTAATAATTAACGACGGTTCTATCTTTATTAAAAATATATCAATTATATTTTCTTCATTGAATAATTATATTATTTTAATATCAATAAGATATTTTTAAGTTATGCGCGTTAAAGTTCAGACCAAATAATATCATAGAAAACTCTACTCTTACTAGTATATACTTTTTCTATTTTAAATGATAAGCTCTTGTTTGACCATAAATTTTGAAGTAAAAAATTGAAAAGTCCAGTTTTTAAACTAGATTTTTGAACAATTCAATTTTTTTAATTGTGATTTTTTGAACTTAGAAATTGTGTTTACAGATGCATTTCATCAGAAAAATAAAACAAAATTATGCAAGTGAAAGTAAAATTTCTCACGAAAACTAATCTAAGCTCGTTTTTGAGTAAATATTTATCAATCAAAATTTAAAATCCAATCAAGTTTCATAACCAAACAGATATTCAAAAATAAAATTTTAAAAATTTAATCCAAAAAATTAGTACAAAAAAATTGCTTAAACTCTTTAAACATTATTTAACTTTAAAATTTATCTTTTTTACCCTTAATGCATTATTAATATCTAAAAAACTAAATTAAGCAAACAATAGTACATACCAACAAAAGACTTACTACAAACTTACACATTATAAATAAAACAATGTTTCATTATTTCAAATAGGAAACTTCCTATATTTATAATATTTATAAAAATATCACCTACCCCCTACCCCCCACCCTACCCCACCCCCTCTATAAAATGACCATATAAATCATTTCATTTTCCTCAACATTTAAATTTCAACCCTAATATACTTCTTTCTAAAATTATATGGCTACCATGAAAAAACTCAACAATTTCATTAGTTTCATATTGTTGTTACTATTTCCGGTGGCCATGGCTGAGCTCCACCGGTTAGAACATCCGGTGAACATCGACGGATCGATTAGCCTTTTGGTCGTCGGAGATTGGGGAAGAAGAGGAACCTTTAACCAATCTCAAGTTGCTCAACAAGTAAACACTATAACCATCATTCTTTCTCCTTCGTTTTAATTTGTTTGTCTTGTATCGCTTTAAAAAGCGTATCACTTTTTCTGATTTATAATCATAAGACTAAAAATATTTTAGTATTCCCTAAAAACCTCAAAATTTCAAAGTTTTTATTATTCTCTTAAATTTCGTGTCAGATTAATGCTAAATAAGCTGAAAATTTGGTTAGAAATTTAAAAAAGGATAATGCTAAACGGCCAGAATTTGGCTAGAAAATTAAAAAATTTATAATCTTTTTTCAATTTTAAAATTAATTAATCTTTTTTTTTCATTATTTAGTTAAAATGGTAAAAGTGTTGAAAAAGGTAAAATAGTATATGTAAAATGTTATTCTGGCCAAAAGGATTTTTTTTCGTTTTTATTTTAAAAAAACTAATTTGTTTTTATTTTTAATTAAAATATGTTTAAGTCAAAAAGATAAAATAACATACGATAAAACACTATTTTGATCAAAAATATTTCTTTTATAAATAAACCCTCAAAATTCAAAAGTTTTTCATTTATCTTAAATTTCGTGTCAGATTAAAATAAAATATTTTATTGAGAAATTTGACTAATGGAAAAAAATAATATTTTTGGGAGATGTAATTAGTGGAATCTTCGTCAGCCAAGTGAAAGAATACAAGTGTTAAAGGACATAAACAATAAATGATATCCATTGGGGCCATTTTATTTGTTTTAATCCACTTACTAGCTAATCAATTAAAGTTGTTGTAATCATTTAATTGAATGTTATGTCTCTAAAAAGACAAGTTAATTGATTATCGCGTGCATTTCGTGTTTACCTATCGTAGGTCTAATTTATTTATTATCGTTTTGTCTCAAGATTGCGCGATATTTTTCAGATTTTAAAATTTAAACGAGTTTGTTTTTATTGTCGTTTTTTATATACTTCCTCTGTTTCATAAAAAAAATGACCTCATTTCTTTTTAAGTTCTTTTAAAAAAATGATTTTTTTTTGGTAACAACTTTTCATGTGGCATGTTTAAGGCCATAAGATTAAAGTGCAATTTTGTACAGTTTACATAACTTTAATTTAGGACCACATGATCAATTTTTTTTTTATTTTCTTAAACTACGTGCCAAATTAAACTAGACCATTCTTTGTAAAACGGAGGAGTACCTTTTAATTATTTTGAATCGTCTTTATTAAGATTTATAGTACTTTTAACGTAATTTACAAATATATAAATTTATTTTTAAAAAATTAAAAATTTCACGTATAAATTTCTGATCAAACTTAATCTATTTGACTTTTAAAAAACGAAAAATAACACTAAATTAAAAAAAAAGAGGATATATTTTGTTCTTTTTAAATTATGTACTAGACTCCTATTATCTTACACATTCTTGAAAACACACACAAAAAATATTATATACTTCCTCTTCTCTATTTAGTTGTCTATTTTAAAAATGACACGCATTAAGATAACAATGATTAACATACTGAAGTTACAATTTTATTTTTATTAATTATGCTTTCAAAAAGGATGAATTAAAACTTAGAAATTTTTAAAAAGTTTAAATGAGGATATAATAAGATATTCTTTTTGTCGTTTCTTGATTTGTCAAAATGTAAAGTAAATAAAGACATCTAAAAGTGAAAATATGAACAAGTATGTAAGGACAGAGGGAGTATAATAATAATCAATATAATATTACAGTAAAATGTAAAACCTTACTCTATCTTTGTGGAGTAGAGAGATTGTCTTTGATAGACTGATTAACTTATTAATAAAGCATAATACGTAAATATATTTTTCAATTTGATTTAAGCTGATATCTATTTTTTTATATAATTTTAGGTGTACACAAGTAGACATTTAAATTTATACAAATTAAATAAATTTATGTATCCTAGGTGACGTAATATAATATGATAGGATATGAATTAATAAATATGTCACGTAAATCGAATCTGTTTATTGGTAGAATTTTATGCAATTTAAATATTTATACCCTATGGTGATTTTTTTTTTAATGTTGAATTTATTGTAGATGGGAATAATTGGAGAGAAATTAAACATAGACTTTGTTGTATCAACTGGAGACAATTTCTATGATGATGGATTGACTGGTGTGGATGATCCTGCTTTTGAGGAATCTTTTACCAATGTCTACACAGCTCAAAGCTTACAAAAAAATTGGTATAATGGTGAGTTTAATTTTTTATTTTTGTCTTATTTTAGTTGTCGTTTTAATTTTAATTATTTTTTTATGTGTTTTGATTATCATATAGTATATATTATTTTTGTTATTAGCTGTTATTTCTTATTCCTTTTGATAATTTTTTTACTATACTGTTTTTCTTGAGCTAAGGATAATCGGAAACGATGTTTCTATCTTTGAGAAAGGATAAGGTTTTATGTATTATGTATATCCTATTCAGGTCCCACTTTGTAAGTTTATACTCTGTATGTTGTTTTTGTTATTAACTGTTATTTCTTGTTCCCTTGTTTAATTCTTTCACTGTATTATTTAAGACTATTTTTTTCTTGAGCCAAGAGTATATTAAAAATCGTTGGGAATAAATCCGTGAACACAAAATTTTAAATTTTTCTTTATTTTCGTAAACTACTTATCAGTTAAACTAAGACAAATAAATTAAATTTTTTTTTTACAGTATAAATATATTCTCAAATTGATGGTATTTATTTCAATTTGAAATCTCTTTTACGTGTTAAATTTCATTTTGACACCTCGACTCGATCGAAACACATATTTTTAACCCTTATGTGGTGTACACTTTTATTTGCAGTTTTGGGGAACCATGACTACAGAGGTGATGCTTTAGCACAATTAAGTCCTATTCTTAAGCAAAAAGATAACAGATGGATTTGTATGAGGTCTTATATTGTTGATACAGGTAACGTAATTAAATTAATCTTAATTATGAAATTTTAATTGTTAAGTTAAGATTTTAATTTTTTTTTAATATTTACACATTATTTTGCAGATGTGGCAGAATTTTTCTTTGTAGATACAACTCCTTTTCAAGATATGTATTTCACAACTCCTAAAGATCATACTTATGATTGGAGAAATGTTATGCCTCGAAAAGATTATCTTTCCCAAGTTTTGAAGGTAAATTTATTTTTCGAGATGATTTTACGTATGATTATTGAAATTTTATTTTATTATATCGGAAGTTACCAAACTATTTTTTATCACAAAATCATTGAGCTTTACCTCAATATCATTGGAAGTCATGAAATTATCTTTTATATCAATAAAATCACGTTAATTTTATCGAAGTTTCACAGAAAGTAACTAAACAAATATTTTTTGTTTCGCAACTAAAAATATTATTCAATTTTGTCTTATAATTATATTGTGTTTTCTCCTAATTGGCTTTATCACTTGGTTTGACACGTATGACATATGCATTTTCTTCGATTTTGTTAAATAGGTTGCAGGTATCGTATCTACTTATTCATTTATGATAGTTCAAACGTTTACTTATTATATCAAAAATTGAAAGACATATATGTCAGCCGAAACCAATTAGTTAAAAAATATATTTATATATTATGTCTTTAAGTTACAAAATTAGTTTAATAACTTTTCTTACTTAGATAAGGTTAAATGTGATACAATAAAGTAAAAATTGAATGATCATCCACTAAGCTAAACCTTAATTTTCATTGATTCATATATTCATCAATCTAAAATTGATTACTTATACCTCTTTACAAACTTTTTTTAATTTTATGTTATTTTTATGAATGACTTTCATTTTTACACATATTAAATTAAATGTAATATTTTATTAACACTAACCTCCTTATTTAAATAGGATTTGGATTCAGCATTAAGGGAATCAAGTGCAAAATGGAAAATTGTAGTTGGTCACCATACTATTAAAAGTGCTGGACACCATGGTAGCTCTGAGGAGCTTGGAGTCCACCTTCTTCCCATATTACAGGTAATGTTTGAGTCAGTTTACACGTATTTTAGTTAATTTTTCAAAAAAAAAATATATATATTTGTAGCACGTGAATCGTTTATGGCTACTCTATTGCTATGAATTTCATTGTTAATTTGTCGCTAAATTATTCTTAGCTAACTGATTATTTTGATTATTTCTCTTTAAACCTAAATAGAATTAATAATGAATTTTATTGTTTAGCTATAAAGTTTCATTTCAATTTTTTTTTTTTAATATAGAACCATTTTCTATTAATAATATTAAAATTAAATTATATAGGTTTATCTTGTAATTTGTTATAATAATATTGTTTCTAATACTTTCTCCTCATTTTTCTTTTTTCATAGGCAAACAATGTTGACTTTTACCTAAATGGACATGACCACTGCTTGGAGCATATCAGCAGTTCAGATAGGTAATTAAATATTATATATAACTATTATTATTTTTAATTTTTAATTTTGTATTTATATTAGAGTTTGATTAAATTTCAATTTGCGTAAGAAGGTATCGTATTAGAATTGAAGTGTTACCTATCAAATGTGCATGACTCAGTAATCAGAGAGATTCGAACTCGAGATCTTTAATTAAGGATGAAGAAATTCATTACACTGATCGTAATTTTTTTTATTTTTTTCAGTCCACTACAATTTTTGACTAGTGGTGGGGGTTCAAAATCATGGAGGGGTGATATGAATTGGTGGAATCCAAAGGAAATGAAATTTTATTATGATGGACAAGGATTTATGGCTATGCAAATTACACAAACACAAGTTTGGATACAATTTTTTGACATTTTTGGAAATATTTTGCATAAATGGAGTGCATCAAAAGACCTTGTTTCCAATATATAAACAACTCATAAGAAAAAAAAATAAAAAAGGTTGAACAAAAAAAGTTATTGATTTAATTTTTTTCTGCTAATTAGCAGTTAAATATTATCCTAATCATTGATGTAATTGCATCCAATATCTTCTATTGAAATATTTATTTATTTTAAATCTAAGTTTATTTTACATACGCATATGATTTAAAGTCATTGATTAATTTCCCGTTTAGACTTTTTTTTTTGCTTAGATAAAAATAAAATATAAATATGAGTTTGCTATTAACACAATTTGCAAGAAAGGCTCGTAAATGAGATGTAACTTTAATTTTGAAAGAAAGTATAGAACACACCTTTATTTTCAGTGTAGATTATTAGTTTCATCTCGAGTTATTTGTATTTTTAAAAATATCTTTTTATTAACATGAGTGAAATGTATATTCCTAGATTTTCGTTAAATTTAAGGGTACTTTTAATATTTTTCTCGACTCGTTATTAAAAGTTTATGATTCTACAAGAGCTTAAGATCAATTGCTGTGTTATGTGTCGAATCGGAAGTGTATCTAAATTTGATTAATCAAATAAAAAATATTTCTAAAGCTGTCAATATTCAAAAACAGAACTAATAATTTACGCTAAGTTCAAATCTCTTTTTAACTCTTCTCTTTTTAATTTTTAACTATGTAAAATAAAATTCTCTCTTTTTAATAGTTTACAAATATATTTGTTTAATTTAAGCATAATAAAGACAAATTTGTGCCAAAAACAAAACATTAAAAAAAATTACTCGATCTACTTTCAATAATTTAGGAATATTTTTGGCTCTCTTTCTTAAACTAAAATACTATGAGATGTTTTAACTAACGCTTTATCATAAATTTTAAATTTAATTAAAATTTATCTTTAAATATTTCTTTGCGATAGATTTTTGAAAATCTGTTTTCAACTCCTTTAATAAAATTTCAAGATAAAATTCAAATAAATGCACACCCAAATACAACTTCAAGCTCCAAAAATCACGGCTTCATAAACTCAAGTTTTCAAGTTTCAACTTTAGATCTTTGACCAAATAGAAGCTAAGTGTCACAATCCGAATCGGGCCGCGACTGGCACCCACACTTACCCTCCTATGTGAGCGAACCAACCAATTTAAACCTTAACATTTCAATATAATATCAACAGAAAGTAATGCGGAAGACTTACACTCATTAATAAAAACCAATTCAATAACTTCTAAAAACTCAACAACTATTATTATCCCCAAAATCTGGAAGTCATCATCACAAGAACATCTATTCTCAAATTACTAAAGCTAAGAGTATCTAAGAAACTAAACATAAATAATAGCTAGTCTATGCCAGAACTTCAAGGCATCAAGACATGAAGAAGAAGATCCAGTCCAAGCTAGAAGCTTTAGCTCACCCTGTAATCTGGTGTGACGAAGACTGGCTAGAGTTGCGGTTGAGTTGAAGATGACGGTACGTTTGCTGCACTCCACAATGAACAAAAAGAAAACATACAAGTAGGGGTCAGTACAAAACACAGGTACTGAGTAGATATCATCGGCCAACTCAAAATAGAAAACAGTATATATCAGATAATATCATAAAATCAACTACAATACTCAACATGCGGCATTTACAATTACCATAACCCTTGGTCGCAACACCAAGCTCATCAATGAGGACTCACGCCTCCCCATCATACTCATTTGGGAATTAGGTTCATTAAATTGAGTATATTGACATATTTCAAGATTCATTCTCTTTACTAATCCTGGTGTCGGAACGTGACACCCGATCCATATATACTATCCTGGTACCGGAACGTGGAACCCGATCCATATTCTATCCTAGTGTCGGAATGTGACACTCCGATCCTCATATACTATCCTGGTACAGGAACGTGGCACCCGATCCATATTCTATCCTGGTGTCGGAACGTGACACTCCGATCCTCATATACTATCCTGGTACCGGAACGTGGCACCCGATCCATATTCTATTCTGGTGTCGGAACGTGACACTCCGATCCTCATATACTATCCTGGTACCGGAACGTGGCACCCGATCCCCTAATCTCACTACTTTCGTTCATCAAGCCTTCTTTCATACTAAGGCATCATCATTAATAAAGTAGATTAGGATTTCTTTTTCAAGATTTAGGATTCAATAGCTTCATCATGCTTATTTTATCACAATTATATAATCACAACATGCAAACACATAATTAAGCATATACAAGGGTTTACAACACTACCCAATACATATCATTCGCTATTAAGAGTTTACTACGAATAGCATATAAACC